GATGCTACCGGTGCCGGTGCTGAGCCGTCACACTTGCGAGACAGCGAGCACGAGCAGCAGGAGCAAGTGGTCGTGACAGAGGCCACATGTGGTTCTCGGAGTGTGGCATGGGTTCGCTGTTTGGGTGCTGCTTGAAGAAAAGAGGCGTCCACAGTGTCATCATTTGCCCATCAGGTCGCAGTGTGTGAAGTGGTATCTGCGTCGTGTTTAGCAGATCCGAGCCACAAGGAACGGGGGAGTCAATGTAGTAGCTGCTTACTAGCTTCTGGCCCGCTCCCCATTTCCTGCAAACGCCCGCTGCAGGACATCCACGGCGATCTCGCAGTCGCACTTCTGGACAAGTCGGAGGGTGGTAGGGTTGCAAGGCTTTGCAACACGAAAGCCTTGACTTCCCGCACGCAGGCCACAGATGAGGTTGACGTGGTTGCTCCCCGGAGCAAGCGGCCCGCTGAAGTGACAGATTCTGATCCAGTAACCCCCGTCAAAAAGCTCAAGGCTGAGGTCGAAACTGAGCGTATGTCTCCTGCAAAGGGTCCCTGGCCGAGCAAGCGTGTGTTTCAAAAAAACTACGTTTGACTTGGGATGCGTTATGTCATGAGCAGCTTGAGCGGATTAACCGTTCTGTTGCGGAGCATTCGAGGGTGTCCGAGCAGGACCCTGAGAACGTCCAAGTTGCATTACAAGGCAACCCTCAGCGCCGCCACTTCGGCTACAGTGAATACCCCTTATGTGTACTGTGCGCAGCACGCAAGCACGAAACTGCTTGGGAGTATCGCCTCACCCGCACTTGCATCGTAAAGTGCACAGGGCGCACATGCTATCATTGTGTTCGTGCGTGCCACAGTCTCGGCATCACGCGAAGTGTGGAGGTCCTCCGCTCTTGCCCAGACATTTTAATGGTCGTGTTGGCCGTCTCTCGAAGGGATCGGCTGCGCCGTGCAGAACTCGGCGAAGATGTTTGTAGGTGCGGTGAGTGTAAGGCTTAAGTGCAAACAGTGCTTGTAGCAGGTTCAGGGCTGTTTGCAGTTTTGCACGTTTGTGTTTGGAAGGGGAGAGGGTTTAGGGTCTAGGGTCAGGGTGGCTTCCGGCTTGAACGGTGGTCTAAATTTGTTTGAGGGGGGTTTAGGGTTTAGGGTTTACTGTTCGGGGTTTAGGGCCAGCCACGCAAAAACTGGGTTTCAGGGCCGGGGCAAGCTATGCGTGTGCATCGAAGAGCTGAGGAGTTGAGTGAGTTTAGTGCAGGGGGCAAAGGCAACGAGAAATCCGACGCATCCTGGCAGCTCTCGCAACTTAAAGCCCAATCCACCAGGCAGTGACCCTTTCCTGGAGGTTGGTCACGTAGGGCTTTAGGAGGCAGCAGCATCTAGCAGCTAGCACACGCTGATAGTAAACACACGCTGGGTTTCAGTTGTCAAAATTAAGATATTGATGAACTCCATGGTTTGAAGTGCGGCTGTTGCTGGGCATGGCCCTGTAAGTAGCGCATGATGGAATTTACCGCAGCAGCCGCAGGGACTGCACTGACTTGGCTTTGGAAGTAGCTCATGCAGATCACTCTCTGGCCCCATCTCAAGGCGACGTGCTTCACAGAAACCTTGTGACCTATAGCAGGCTACTATCCAACATCATACAGCAGGGAACCTAAACCCTAAAATATCGAAAAAAACAAGTTTGCAGGTGCGATCAGACCCGGAGACAGACGGAGATCCCTACTGCGACGAGGAGATGCAGCTGTTTATTCTAAGCTTTGTGTACCTTGCCTTTTTAGGGGTCCAGGATCTTCCTGTGCCCTAACAAAACCTACCCTGTTGGGTTGCATGTGACTACACCAAAGTGCGTCCCAGAGAAAGCCACCTCATCGAACAGAGCTTGCCCCAGAGCTGAAGTTGAAAGGCTTATGCTGCTAGGGTTGAAAGGAGTGTCCTCAGCGCATGCAAGACTCAAAGGTCCAAGTAAATACTATGCACTTCCTCATTTAGGGAGTTTCCGAAAAATCGGGGTACCTTACGTTGGGGTCCCTATATTGAGGATCCTTTTATTTAGGGTACTATATTAGGCTCCGCTCCCCTATTTTCGGAAACCCCCATTTAAATTTCCTACGAATACTATTCCCTGACCTACGATTGCTGCTGCTACCCTATCCCGTCCTAGGCACAAGTCTCTAATCGTTGGGCGCCAGCAACACAAGGGGCCCGAGGTTTTAGAACCCTATAATCAGGACATGTTTGAGACCTCCAAATTTCAACATCAAACCCAAAACCGCGATTTGGGTAATGGGTCCTCTCCATGCGCAGGATCACTTCGAAAGCAGCGCTACACAGAGCGTTGCGAAGTCTCTGCGCACAGAGAGTCGGTCGATGCGTGTGGACAGCCCGCCGCTGGACTTCTTTGGCACCTCATTATTGCTGTTCTGGTATTCTGTCATGCATGTTGTCATATCATGGTAGCTCTTTGAATTCTGATAGTTTAAATTTAGTGTTTTCACTATCATTCAAATCACTGAAGCCCTGAACCCATGCGAGCCCTCTAGCCGGTTATCGTGCAGTTGTTACAGTGACTGTTGTCACTAGTCAGCCAAACTGCCAAAAGACAAGCACTCGCACGCTAAACCCTGTAATTCGCTCAATCCTAGGCCTCGACCCCTTGAGCCCAAACTTTATTACCCATAGGCCCCATAGTAGTTCCTTTTGGGGGTTCATATTTAGAATCCTATAAGGTAATCCCAAGAAGGAACTACTATGGGGCCTATGGGTAGACTCACAGAAACCTTCGTGCAAAGAAGGATTAGTCTTCGAAGGAATTCGGAGGTAACAGTTTAACACCCTGAGTTCTTGAATCCTCTAGACGAGGGCTTGTTGGACAGGAAAGCATTAAGGTAGAGCTGCGCAAAAGCTCTTTCGCCGTTGGGGCTCGGGGTTTGGCTTACGTACTTTTCTAGTAAGTTTAGTATATAAGTCTTGCTTGCAGGTTCAGGGGCTGCAAAGTAGAGTTGTAGGCACACCACGTTGAACCTTACTAACATCCTAGTTCAATCTACTTCAAGTCACCTTATCCTGTAAGTAGTGTTCGGATCAACCTTTATCAACCTTTATAGCACTAAATCCCAAACCAAGAATCACTTAAACCTTAGGCCCTAAACCCTAAACCCTAAACCTAAACCCTATTTCTTAGTGGAAAGCCCCTTTGCAATCTAGGACATTTTCAGGTGGGTAGTTACCGTTATAGGAGCCTTATAGAAGGCCTATATGCCTTATGGAAGCCTTCTAGAAGCCCTAAAACCCCTAAACTCCCCACCTGTAGTTTCCTAAACCCTAAACCCTAAACCCTAAACCCCTAAACCATAACCCCTAAACTCCTAAACCCTAAACTCCCGACCTGTAGTTTCCTTTAGTGCAAAGGTCCCAAGATGAAGCCTAACCTAAACCCTAAACCCTAAACCCCTAAACCCCTAAACCCTAAACCCTAAACCCCTAAACCCTAAACTCTAAACCCCAGGCCCAGGGGTTTCTTAGTGAAAAGCCCCTTTGCAAAGGTCCCAAGATGAAAACTACACCTCCGCCTACCACTCGGATCGTTCGGACTCCGAAGGCTCCGAGGAGGAAGAGGAGTGAGCCTTTAGGGTAGGGCATTTTTGTTTTGTTTTTAGGGTTTAGGGTTTGGAGTTGTTGGAGGGTTTAGGGTTTAGGGTTTTGCTTTTGAAAAGTTTTTTTTGGAGGGTTTAGGGTTTAGGGTTTGGCTTTTGAAGAGTTTTTTGAGGGTTTAGGGTTAAGGGTTAGCTTTTGAAGAGTTTCTTGAGGGTTTAGGGTTTAGCGTTTGAAGAGTTATTTTTGAGGGTTTAGGGTTTGGCTTTTGAAGAGTGTTTTTGAGGGTTTTGGGTTTAGGGTTTAGCTTTTGCAGAGTTTTTGTCGAGGGTTTAGGGTTTAGGGTTTAGCTTTTTGAAGAGTTGTCATGTAGTTGTGTATGATTTTACACTGGTTGCATAGGTTTTTCTGATTTGTATAAGGGGTTTTGTCTGCTTTCAGATAGTGGCTACAGGGGTCTAAGGCCTGGGAGTTCAAACCGCAAACCAAACGCTATAACCCTAAACCCTAAGCCCTAAACCCTAAACCCTATAATAGAGTCTGACAGAGTCGGATACGAAGTGCGGGCTTCAAGGGAAGCTTGAGACTCCGGATTGAGGCAAGCTCACGCTCTGGTGTTTGGGGTGGAGGTTTTCGGTTTAGGGTCTAGGGTGTGGGATTTATAGCATGTAGGGCTTTAGGATTCAGCATGCAGGCTGTAGGGGTTGTTTCGGGATTGGGAAAGCATAGGCCATCAAGTCTAGAGAAGCCTGGCACCCAACAGCCTTCGGGCTTAGAAATTAGGCTTGTTTATGGTTGTTTAAAACTTCATAAGTTAGACCTCAATGAACACTCGACAGCACCATCTCGAAATCCAGACATGACGCCTAAACCTTAAAGCCGCAGTAAAACGCATAGCAATCCGCATGAGGAGCCAGACAGTGCCGAGACGGAGGCGTTGAAAACAGAACTGGCAGCCAAGGTGCTCGGATTGAGAAACAGGGGCATGCGAGCTCACAACTAGTTGGCAACTTTGGAAACTGCTTGATTCCCTTCTAATGCCATAGAGGTACCTTTCCGCAAATACTGGTGGGGCCGAAATGTGCCCAAGCATAAGTCTGTGAATGTTTATTTGAGATGCAGGATTTCGGGGTTGGGGATTTATCACTCAGGACTACTACGATCTCAAATTTGCCAAGGTTTCATATTCGGTTGAGCTTCACGGCCTGTGGCAGCAGAGAGTTTAGATGGGCTTGGCGAACCATCCGAACAGAGGGGCCGAAATAATTACCGATACTATTTTGGGGTTCCTTATTACAATTATAGTGGGCCACAAAACCCCATTCTAATTATGAAGGCCCCTGTATTACTCAGTATGGGGATTGAAGATAGTTGGTAGCACTGCGCGTGGGTTCCTGCGCTGCACGCGTTCTACAGCCTCCAACCCCAAGTTAACAACCCTGAGACCTCCAACGCTAATGTAGGGCCCTTAATGATTAGCATATGGTCTTGGGGGGTCGTTATTATAGTTATAGTAGAACATACCCTCAAACCCTATGCTAATTATTAAGGCCCCTACATAAGAGAGTCGACAGGAGTTTAACCAACTCTAACCCTAAACCCTAAACCTTACCTGAAGGACGACGAGCAGGACAAGCTGTCGGAGCAAATGCTGGCGATGCAGCGCGAGATGGAGGCGGAAAGCGAGAGCCAGGTTGAGGGTTTATAGGGTTAACCTGTATCTCCTAAACCCTAAACCCTAAACCCTAAACCCTAAACCCCAGGTCATGACCCCTAGAGGCCCTAGAGCCTGAACCCCAAAGCCACACGAACAGCCCTAAAGCCCCATAACCCCAGCACCCCAAAACCAAAGCCCCATAATGAAGCCCTGTAAACCCCTAAAAACCCCATCCTAAACCCTAAAACCTATAAACCCCTACAGCCCAAACATAAAGCCTAAAGCCCTGTAAACCCCTAAAACCCCACCCTAAACCCTAAACCCTATAAACCCCTGTAAACCCCTAAACCCTAGACCCTAAACCCAAAGCCGCCTCCGAAAGGCGCTCCGGAAGCTCCTCGAGGAGCAGCAGCAGGAGCTGGCAAGCTCCTCCCAGGAGCGGACCTGGTGGTCATTGAGGGTTCGGGGTTTACGGAATTTAGGAATTCTCCTAGAGTTTACGGAAATTAGGAATTTTCCTAGAGTTTACGGAATTTAGAGGATTTCATAGAGTTTATGGTTATTGAGCACCTGGCGATGAACGCTAGCAAGCGCCAAACTTCCACAACCTTAAACTCCTAACAGAAGACACGAGTGTGGTTTCGAGACTTTGAAGTTTGGACTTAGGGTTCAAGTTTGACGAAATCTCGTGCTGGGTGTTGAAGGCTCCAACGTTACTTTGAGGTGTAGTGTTGGGTTCAGCATCATATGGCAACGTCAGAAAGGGAAAGGTGGTCAACATATAGACTCCTACTGCTGATTATCAAAACCCTCCAGCTCACATGTAGAGCCCACCATATCTCGACGAAGCCGCCGTTGCCATGGCGGCGGTACAGACAGCCGAAGAGCTGCGAGCAGAGATCGAGGCCACCCAGCGACAGGTGGAGGCAGAGAGGGCCAGGCGGGAGGAGCTCAAGGCCGAAACCGCGCAAGCGGTAGAGCGGCAGAAGCTCCGCGTCGAGCTGGCCAAAAAGAGGCAAACTCTCGGATGGGAGCGGATCTTAAATGAGCGCGAAGCTAAGCGTCGACGGTCCTTGGATGAAGACCGGATCCTTTGGTGCCAGAATTCGGAAAGAGCAGACTACAAGCCAATTCGGGCAGCCGTGATGCGAGCTAGTGGTGCAAACAGCACTAACTGCGCACAAATGGTCGCCAGGGGCGAGTACGTCTGGCGAATTACAGGCTTCTCCTGGTTGAAGGGCATGATGGAACAGGAGAAGGCCGACGACGATGAGGAGGGCACGGGGTTCTTTGTCGAGTCCGAGCGGTTTCATCTAAGTGCGGAGCATTTCGTATTTCTCTACAACCCGCTGGCAGGCGAGCTTTGTGGAGGTTATCATGGGTCTCTCGCCATAGTGCCTACCACGAACGATCGCATCATGCTTCGGTATCGCATCTACGTCAAGGCACGGAGCGGTGAATTCTTGCAATGGGGCGAGACGCGAGATGTCGTCAATGAAGTCGTAAGCGAGGATCAGTTTGCTGCATACGGCCCCGATGTGCATTGGCCGGCTCATCCTCCTGAGTCTCTGGGTATTTTCGGGCTGAGCTATGACGAGCTGTTGCAGTCCGAGTGGGTGGAGAACGACACGCTGACCGTGAAGTTTGAGCTTGAAGTTCGTCCCAACGAGTGGGCAGAATCAGCGCCCTTGAGGCTTGTAGGGGAGGTTCCTGAGCCAACTATGAGTGATGACACACAGGTGCTCTTGGAGGAAGGCAAGTGCTGCGACATAACGTTCATGGTGCAGGACGAGGTGATCCATGCCCACTCGCAGATTCTTTGTGCCCGATCCGAGGTGTTCAGCAAGCAGCTGACGGCCGGAATGCAGGAGAGCCTCTCGAAAGCCATCGTGATCGAGGATTGCGATGTCGCCACCTTCAGGGCCTTCCTTCAGTTCCTCTACACAGATCGCTTGCCGGATGCCAAGGAGCTCCTTCCGAAGAGGACCGCCAGCGAGTCCGAGAATGAGAGCGGAAGCCCTCAGTTGTCGCGGATTCAGGCGCTTTTGGCCGTAAGTGACAAATATCAGATCAAGAGGCTTCGGCTGTGGTGTCAAGCGAAGCTTTCCGAAGAAATTAACGCTTCGCAGGTCTGTGACATTCTCAGCCAAGCGCATCTTCTTCAGGCGAAGCAGCTCGAAACGGCCTGCCTCTCCTTCATCAAGGACCACATGAGCCAAGTACTCACCATGCCCTCCTACCTTAAACTAATCAAGACGTGGCCTCAGCTCGCTCTGAAGATCAGCCTCTTCCTGGCGGATGTGTCCGAGGCCCAGGCTCTGACCACGATGGATGCTTTTGTGAAGGCCGACTCAGGAAACTAGCCGTCACTACCCCAGGCATCGGCTAGCTTTTCGAAGCTCAAGGTGCTTAGTAATTAGGGAATGTACGGTGTCTCACGGCCGGCGCGTAGACAGCTAAGCACGGCTTACACGTTTTTCAGAGTCATAGTGCCGCAAGTGCAAGGCGACGAAGCGCAGTCCAAGAGGTGAGCAGGCCAGATCTGACTTAGAAAAACGTTGAGCGCGAGTTGAGGGGCAGGGGGGGCTTCGGCATCAATGTCTTTGTCGTTCATACCCAGCCTTTCAAAGTGACGACAAAGCCTTAGACAGAACGTGGCTGCAAGCTCTCAGGATTTGCATGTTTTGATGGAAAAATGAGAAGCCGTCGCCCTGCGACATCCCAAACTTGAGGCAAAAATCCTGAACTCAACTCCTGAACCCTGATAAACCCCACAAAGCCCTGAGGAATGCAGCACTTCAAGGCTCAGGGGACTTGCTTCTTTCTAAGCCCGAGGAGCTGCAGCGTGCTCGCGCAGAGCTCGACGCATTGCGCCAGGACATCGTGTTTTTTGCCTCTTTGACCCAGGATCTGAGCACCCAAATAATCGGGTCGTAGGTACGTTGCAAAGAAGCAATGAGATATAGTATTGGGAAATAACCACCCTACGATTTGGATACCTGTACTGTCTGGGGTAGGTAGACCCCAAAGAGTTGGGGTTTACGGCTCTAGGGTTTAGGGATTTAGGGATTCAGGGTTTAGGGTTTAAGGATTTTGGGTTTTGGGGTTTTTGAGCAGTTAATGGTTTGAGGTCGAAGGTTTAGGGTTTGCTCAAGGTCTGGGGTTTAGGCTTTGGGGCTTGTGTTCCGTACTTTGATTGGGTTCAGGGTTTAGGGTTTTGATGGTTGGTGCGCTCTTGAGTGCTATTCTGGGGTATTTTGTGAGGGTTTCTGCGGCATCAAGCGATTGAGATGGGAGAATTTGCATTCAGGCTTAGAGTTTTGCATTCAGGGCTTGGGTAGAGGTATACAACCCTATAAACCCTACTATCAAGAAGACCTCAGATTGTGATGACTGGAAAACCGTACAAAAACTCATAGCATCCCTACAACTACCAAAAGGCCTCTATGGACCGCAATGGATTTCCTCACTGGCAGGAGCAGGAGGACTCGGCGAAAGCATCCAAGGCCGTTGTGTCGGCTCAGTGATGCCAAGTTGGAGGTTAAGGATTTTGGGCTTAATATTATATAAGGGCCTGAATAATTACCAATGCTATCTTGGGAGCTCCTTACTATAAAAAAAGTATAATATACACCCAAACCCTACCCGATTCTATTTATTACGGCCCCTACATGACTTGGAGGTTCAGTTTACTGCTTGGCGCTTCCGAGGTTGACGGTGTCGGACATATGGGGCTACATAAGGGGAGGTCTACAGTAGTCTTGCGGCAGGTTTGCTACAAGAGCAGCATGAAGTCATGAATACTGCTGTTGGTATCATATCCGATGTTGTTGTTGTCCAACTCCTAGGTTGGACTACGGTGCTTCTTGTTGTGATTGTATTGCATTGTCGTTGCAAGTTGGTGGCCACTAGAATAAGTGAGCCAAAAAAACCACTAACCCCACGCTAAAACCGAAAGCCCTGCGAGCTGGGAACGTTGTGAAGCCGTTAGCAGCAGGCACCTCGCTTCTCTTCTCGAGCCTTTACATAAAGTCTTGCAAAGCCCCCCACAATACCCCCTAAACCCTAAACCTTAAACCCTAAACCCTAAACCCTAAACCTGACAGTACCCTTCATGATTTCAAGGGTTCGGTGGGGAAGCAAAGCATCCGCGAAAGGCTGAAAAAGAAGCTTTTCGTCAGGTTGACTCTCAGCAGCACGGGCACTTGGGGTTCTGTAGGGCTGTAGGGCTTCCATACCGAGGTTCTGTAATGGCGCCATTCGAGTCTCTCAGGGGTTTAGGGTTTAGGGTTTAGGTTTTTTTTGTGGGAGGGGGGGTGGGGGGTGCTTAGAGATTTTTTGGAAATGTCTAGTAGTCCTTGAGGGTTTTGGGAGAGTTTTGGGAGTATTAGAGGGGTTAGGTGCGGGGGGGGGGATTTAGGGGATCAGGGTTTTGGGGCCCAAGGCTTTTGGAGTTGAACATGCGTGCTTTTGGTGTCAAAGCGGGTATGCGTGCTTTTGGTGTTAAAGCGGGTTTGTTTGCAGCCCTTATGAAACCCCACAGACTCGGAACCCGTACGATTCTGTAACCTAGCGCCCGCTTGTCAAGAGTTCCATCCCCAAACAGTTGGTAATGTTGATTTCTTGCCTAGGTACATCACAGAATCCTATACCCTAAACTCTTAAACGCTAGACTCTCTAAATGGCCTTACCCAAACTTGAACTTTAAACCTACAACACTACAACCCCCCCCTCAGAAAAATGCAAAAATCATGTAACACGGGACCTTGAACAACAGCTTTGCCATATAATGAGCCTACTCCAATGGTTACGGCCCCTGTAATACAGCCTAATCGCAAGCCATGTAGACCCCTAAACCCTAAACCCTAAGCCCTGAAGGAACCCCATTCGAGTCATGAGGCACCGGTTATGAAGTCCTGAAGCGCCGAGCCGACAACTTGAAAGGTGTAAGGGTTTAGGGTTTGGGGTTTAGGGTTTAGGGTTAAGGAAGGCGAAGGAAATACCCATGGGGGGACGGTGTTCTCTTTTAGGGTTTAGGGCTTAGGGTTTAGGGTTTAGGGTTTTAAGGGCTTAGGGTTTGGGGTTTAGGGTTTAGGGTCTAGGCACTTAAGCTGTTGTGTATAGTAACCTTGTAGTAGCCTCAAAGTAAGTAACCCTGGTAGCTACCCTGATAGTGACTGTTTGTAATGTCTGGCCCTGATGAAGAAACCCTGGCCCATACCCCCAAGATACTAGGCTTCATAGAAAGAACTTTTCAACAAACAAGGTTTCTTAACAAAATGTTGGGTTTTGGGTTTCTTAAGGATTCATAGAAAGAACCCTTAAAAAAAAAAGGCACAAGGTTTCTTAGCAAAGTTTAGGGTTTTGGGTTTCTTAAAATAAATAATTATGTAAATGAATAAATAAATAAAATTACAATAATCATAATAGCAATAATATATGTATATATACATACATATAATAATAATGTATAAGATAATAACAATAATAATATATGCATATACATACATTTATATGTATATTTATCAGGTTTGCACGGTAGCCCAAACAACGCCAAGGAGAAGCTGATGAAGGAGCGGAAAAGCCTCAAGGAGCTACTGCTTGAGCCGGGGTCGGTGGGTTTTGGGGTGTTTGGGGCTCTTGGGGTTTAGGGCCGTTTGGGGTTTATAGGGTTTGGGTTTATAGGGTTTAGGGTTTAGGGCCGTTAGGGTTATAATATATAGGGGTTTAGGGTTCATAGGGGTTTAGGGTTTATAGGAGTTAGGGTTTAGTGTTTAGGGTTTATAGGGTTTTGGGTTTAGGAGGTTTAGAGTTTATAGGGCTGGCTTTCGGGTTTTAGCCGCAAGGAGCTGCATTTGCCGGGAAGTCCCCGAAACCCTAAACCCGAAACCCTAAACCTTAAGCCCTAAACCCTGAACTCTGAACCCTAAACCCTAAACCCGAAACCCTAAACCTTAAGCCCTAAACCCTGAACTCTGAACCCTAAACCCTAA